CAGCCTTACATTCCCAGATTTTAAAACCTCTTCGTAGCTGCTCTAAGGATTTGTATTCTTTGACCAATATTAGTTTTTACGAAATAGAAACATAAATGACACAAATTCCGTAGGCACACAGCAGTACAGCAGGGATGGAATGGCACACAAATACACGTGTGTATATTAGTATCTATTATATATGTGACATGTAATGTTTATAACTTGATATGTATGTATTACCATTTTCTATAAATTAAAAATCACCAAGTGTTAGCTACCTCATGGGGTTCAGTCTAATATGTCTTTGTGATCAGAACCCATGCTCTTAACTGTTACACAGGAAACTTCCCTTTTCTTGCTTAGGAGCCAAGCACAATATATTATTTTAGAGCTGTGAGGACTCAGAGTTGTCCAAAAATTTATTTTTTATTCCCTTTACTAGATAATTTTATTCCTTCATATTTATTTACTTTCCAACTGACAAAAATTTCTCAAATACATTAAGATGTATTTATGCAATAACTCTTTACTGAGGGCCTCTGTGAGACTCATAAAAGTTGTGTCATTCTTTCCATTTTATCGACTTGAAAGTGAGACCAATGTTTTAAATAACTTCCCCAAATTCTCATCACTATTTAATGGTAATTCTGCCCAATACCTTCACACATCATGATGCCTGGAGTTTATGGGAACTGGGACACGCTGCTCTGGTTCTCGGGCCTCATGCTGCTCTTCTGTCTGCTGGGGATGAAGAAGGCTTGGGAGTCTCAGGAACCTAGAAAGGATGAGCAGGACATCTCATCTCATACTGTCATTATTGGGAAAACCTTTCATTTTTAATACTTTCATATTTCTCACACCTGTGGATGTGTGCATCTTCCCTCTATTCCAGCCTGGCTCCAGGAAAACATTGAACCCCAAAGTAGTGAACAAGACCTTATCACAGGGAAGAGGGGTTCGCTGTTTATTCAAATATTACTTTTAACATCATGTCTGTGTCGAAACCTCTACTAAGGACTGCAGTGCAGCAGTGAGCAGGAAAAGCAAGGTGCCCACCTCTATGAGTTTACATCTTGCTGAACATGGCGGGATCATTTCTACACCAGGCCAGAGCCAAACCATAATGATTCACTGTGGCAGGAATGGAAGGTGAGCCCCTGCAAAGTGGTGTCGGTTGTTTCTGCCTAAAAGTAACATGAGACTCCAGTGCTGAGTGGGCGTTGTTGGAGCCTTGTCAGACCTCCTGTGAACCTGCCGGCTCCCATTGACCCTCAGCTCTAAACTCAGGGACACTCTGGAATTGGGTGGCCATTGAAAGACACTTGATGCTAGAATATCACCAAAACCAGATGACTCCACAAAGTATCTTTCATAATAATGCTGAACATTTAGATGAACATTTGGGTACCAGGCTAAGGCCTTTACCTACATTTCCCAATTAAATCCACACATCAGCCTTACATTCCCAGATTTTAAAACCTCTTCGTAGCTGCTCTAAGGATTTGTATTCTTTGACCAATATTAGTTTTTACGAAATAGAAACATAAATGACACAAATTCCGTAGGCACACAGCAGTACAGCAGGGATGGAATGGCACACAAATACACGTGTGTATATTAGTATCTATTATATATGTGACATGTAATGTTTATAACTTGATATGTATGTATTACCATTTTCTATAAATTAAAAATCACCAAGTGTTAGCTACCTCATGGGGTTCAGTCTAATATGTCTTTGTGATCAGAACCCATGCTCTTAACTGTTACACAGGAAACTTCCCTTTTCTTGCTTAGGAGCCAAGCACAATATATTATTTTAGAGCTGTGAGGACTCAGAGTTGTCCAAAAATTTATTTTTTATTCCCTTTACTAGATAATTTTATTCCTTCATATTTATTTACTTTCCAACTGACAAAAATTTCTCAAATACATTAAGATGTATTTATGCAATAACTCTTTACTGAGGGCCTCTGTGAGACTCATAAAAGTTGTGTCATTCTTTCCATTTTATCGACTTGAAAGTGAGACCAATGTTTTAAATAACTTCCCCAAATTCTCATCACTATTTAATGGTAATTCTGCCCAATACCTTCACACATCATGATGCCTGGAGTTTATGGTTTGTTTGTTTGTTTGTCTGTTTCCCTGGGATGTTTAGTAAAAAAAAGAAAGTTGTAAATTCTGAGCAACTCAATCACACTCAGGTACCTAAAAATGATAGCAGATCCATTTCAAGAAACAGGGTGTTCCTTGAATGTGAGCATCTTAGGTAATGGTGCCCCAGAAGGAGGACACTTTAGGAAATATTTGAGTCATCGATACAGATCACTCACACACACACACACACACACACACACACACACACACACACACTGCTGATTTGAGAATGTAAGTCACCGCTGACCAAATTTCCATCCTAAAGGAAGAATAGCCAATATGTGGTTCACCTCATAAACACTCATATGCTTACGCATAAGTCAGAATTAAGAGAAAATTGGACATACACAATATACAATAATATACCTCTCACCCCAAAACATACTCACTATGCACATCAACACACCTGCATCATGATGCACCTGGTGAACACTCAACTCACTACATATACGTAACAAACACTACACACACTTCACCAAAATCACACAAGACCACAAACAAATTATAAATCTTACAAGAAACACACAACAGAACACATATGTACACCCCGTACACTCACTACAACTAATAGTATACACTCTCCTATTAATGCGAGTGTGTTAATGAGCTTCCCTCCTTCTGACCTTACCCTTGCTGGGGGAGGGCAGTCAGCATGGGGCAGTTAAGCCTATTCAGTCACAGGCACAGTCATTAAACCACCACCTACACCCATGCATATGGTCACACGCACACGTCACATAACGGAGAAAATCCAATAACATAACTTCCAGCTCTCATACACAAGAGCGTCACCCACAGGCACAGCTCACATGTGCACCACAACACACTGCTGAGCAGAGGTCTGAGCTCTCTCTGAGCTGACCTTGGTTCCTTATGAGGTTGGCATCTTCTTGTCCAGAAGCAGAGACAACAGTCTCACTCCCGATGCTCAGCTGTGATGCCAGTGTTTACTATCACAGACATGAATCAGGAGTCCCAACCACACGCCAGGAGGCTGAGAACTTGGTCCACATACGCTAAAATGAGACTATAAGTCAGATTCATAGCACATACACACACAACTATCAAACAGCACATATACAAGCATATACAATACATGTACACACACAGGGTCATAGACACAGTGTCTCACACATGAACCCACTAGCACACAGGCAGGTCCATCGGCAAAAACAGAATTCCAGCTCCTCTCACCTGGGCTCATTGGTGAGTTGAGACACCTTCTGCTGCAGATTATCGCCCATCCCTCAGGTTTTCTTCAGGAGACCTAACATCAGACACACAGAAGCAATAACTGTGGCCTTGGCATTTCTACTGACTTTTGTTTTCCTTAACCAGCTCCAGAGAAATGAGTCCACAGATGGCACTTAACTGCTAATGAGAGATGGCAACCAAGTCCCCAAGCTTGTGGCTGATTTCTGACCGCCCTTTGGGAGCTGTGTGTCCAAGAGCCAGAGGCACTGGAGTCCTAGGAGACAGTGTCCCTGATTCCAGTCATGCCCTGAACTGCTTTGTTCCTGGGCATTGCTCCAGCTGGGAAGAAAGATTTTTCAACTTTCTATTTTGAAATGATTTCAAAGATATAGTAAAGTTGTAATAACGATATTAAGAATTCCTGGTCAATCTTCAGCCAATTCCGCAATGGTTAACATTCTACTATGTTTACCTTCTGTGTGTGTATCCTATATAATACTAGGGGCCCGGTGCACAAAAATTTGTGCACTGGGGAGGGGGGTCCCTCAGCCCAGCTTGCCCCCTATCACATACTGGGAGCCCTAGGGGATGTCCTACTACCTGCTCCCTGCTCCCCTTGGGGAGTGGGCCTAAGCCACAGTCTGGCCTCCCTTTGTGGGAGTCGATTGGGCTGATCAGGGGAAGGCACCAGCCCCATCACTGCACTGTTGCAGCCACTGCCAGTCACCGCAGCCACCAAGGTGTTTTCATCAACACGGACTCCAGTCCCTTTACCATGAAAAAATGACAACTTTCTTTAGGCATTTTCAAGAAGTGTCTTTCATAGGATATGACATTTCTTTCTTTCTTTATCCTCACCTGGGGATATGTTTCCATTGATTTTTAGAGAATGTGGAAGAGAAAGGGAAAGACACATCAAAGTGAGAGGAACACTTTGATTGGTTGCCTCCTGCATGAGCCCTGACCTGGGCCGGAGCCAGGGAGGAACCTGCAACCTAGGTACATGCCCTTGGTCAGAATTGAACCCAGAATCTGCATTGGGCAGGCCGAGGCATTATCCACTGAGCCAAACTGGCTAGGACAGGATATGACATTTCTTAACCCTCCAGCAGCAGACCTTCATTTTTTTCTCCAGGAGTGTGGTAAAAAAAAACCCTAGATCACTTTTTGGAGTCTTATTACCCAAGTTACTAAGAATATTACCAGTGGCATACAGGGAGCTTAACCAATCAGCAGTCAGAAAAGGTGTTTCCTCTGTAATTCACACCAATTGCTGGTTTGGCCCCTGCCCCGGCATAGCGCCTCTGGCGAGTCATTAGCCCTGGGCCAGGGCACCCT